GGGTGTCCTCTTGCCCTGCAGGAAGGAAAGCATTTCTACAGACCTTATGGCAGGGACGGGCACTCCAAAAGGTGCAGAGCTGCGGCACCACAGCAAATCCCAGAGCAGAATGAAGATGCCTCCTGAACTGCTCCCCTCTAGGCTGGACAGACACAGTCCTCAGGCTGTCCTGGCACGTCATGAGCTCTGGTCCACAGCCAGCTTTGAGGGTGACATTGGTTTTGCTGCTGTTTGTCAGTGCCACATCAAGTTCCGCAGTCAACATCAATGATCCCCATGGAAAGCACGGGCAGTAGGGCTGCACTGGGTTATCCCATCACACAGGCAGTACATTGTGTTTACCTTTACTTAACTGATGTTGGAGGTCTCCAGTCCAAATTTCTGCTCAACTTAAGCATGATGACATTTTCTTTGGCCAGTATATCCAATCTGATGCAAGGGAAGACTTTGCAGTCCAGGAAGCCCAACAAGAAGGAAGAAATGCCAGGCAAAGGCAGCCCACCATGGAGAAAGAGGTCCCTTTTGCCACAGGCCATCGTCAGTGCTATGGCCAGGCTGTGGGCAGGAAAATGGCAAGCCAGGCAGGAGTCAAACCTGCAATCTCCTGATCCATAGTCAGGCAAGTTATCCACTGCACCACTGGCCCCCACCCTCCTTCAGCTCTGGGGGCGAGCTCTGGGGGCTTCCCGTTGCTGGATGGGCTTTCTGAGAGGAGCGGGGCAGCAGGATTTGGTTAAGCACAGAATAAAACAGGTTACAGAAATCCATGGAAGGCAGGTCATTTGGTCCCCTGCTCAGAGCACTAAAGTCATTGACGTGCCCCATCCCTGGCAGTGTTCAAGGCCAGGTTGGACACAGGGGCTTGGAGCAACCTGCTCTAGTGGAAGGTGTCCCTGCCCGTGGCAGGGAGTTGGAACTAGATGATCTTATGGTCCTTTCCAACTCAAACCAGTCTATGATTCTATGACATTAAGTCATTCTGTTAGTCAACATTTGAACATCTCCAAGGATGAGAACTCCAAAACCTTCCTTGGACTCTGTTCTAATGTGTGACCTCTGATGTGTGAAATTTTTTTTCTATCATCTAATAGAGATTTTTCTTGATGTAATGTGTTTTTGTTGAGCTCCATCCTGAATGTCCACAAGAAAAGCCTGCGTCTGCTTTCTCTGTAGGCACACATAGCATAAAACAAGGTTATAATCCTTTCTCAACCTCTTCTTCTCCATCTTATAGAAACCTAGCTCTCTAGGCCACTCCTCATCAGGGACTCACCACTTTCTCATCTGGACGACCATCTCTGGGACATAATGAAGTCTGTAAATGTCTTTCTTGTTCTGGAGATCCCAAAACTGGACATTATAGGACAGGGCACACACAGCAAGTTTCTAGATGACATCAACTAAGGAGCGGAGGCTGATGCTCTGCAGGTTAAGATTGCTCTTCAGAAAGGCCTTGTGAGGCAGAAGTGGGATGACAGGAACCTTGTGAACCTTATGAACTCCGTGCAAGGTCCTGCACCTGGATCAGGGCAATCCTGATCATCACAGGCTGGGAAATAAAGGGGTTGAGAGCAGCCCTGCAGATAAGGACTTGCAGATACTGGTGGATGAAAAAGTGGACATGACCCAGCAGTGTGAGCTCACAGCCCAGAAAGTCAGAGGGACTTTTTAAAGGGCAGGTAGGAATAAGACACCAGATATAGGCCAGAATCTCCTGTTTCAATGTACACCTATTGTCTCATCCTCCTATCATGAAACACTACAAAGCACCTGGCTTGATGACCTCCTTATAGGTACTGGAAGGTTTCTACCAGGTTCTCCTTGAAGCCTCCTCTTCCATCGACCAAATAAACCCAATTTCCATGGTTTCCCTTCTTACAGCAAGTGCCACATTATGATAGCCTTTCACTGTACTTGTTCCAGCTGATCAATACCCTCAAGCTGGGGGCCCCAAGGCTTTATGCAGTATTCCCAGTATGGAAGATGAGTAAACAATGGGAGTAATGTCAGTAGTGAGCAGAGTAATGAGACAAGGTGCCCATCCCTGCCATAAGGTCTGTAGAAACGCTTTCCTTCCTGCAGGGCAAGAGGACACCC